ACGTATGCCGCTGGCTCCACCTACCTGTACGGATGGTTTTTGCTAACATCCAACCCGTACTGTCTAAATATTTCGAAATCCTTGCCAGTCACTTGGGATGATACTAAATATACTAGAAATCGCTAGCATCCTACTAAATACTCTAAAAAAACACATTTTCCAAATGCTAGCAAGGATTGAGATTTGGTTACGGAGGAGTTGATCTATGAGATCCATGCTAATGGCGCTACATTCGTTACGTGGAAGTGTCGCCACTATAATATTTGTGTATTTGTTGACCAAATGCCCGAATTTGAAAAAAGCGGGAAGTTCATATGATGAACTCAAATTTTTTTGTCATTTCAATAAAGAAATAAAGAGTTTTCTTTTATAAAGGCCGTTCACAAATTTCTGATTGACGCATATATCTTAATGCATTGAGCACGAAAAAATACGGAAATTTGAGCTAAGTTACACTCTCCGCTTAACGACGAACATTACCAGGCTTTGCCGCATAGATCTTGATAACAGCAGGAAAGATGAGTTTTCCTACCAGAGACCGCAAGCTTTATCAGTAATTTTTCAGCAGATTATACTGAGCAATGTTTAACGATTTAGCTATTAAGCAGGCCTTGTGCCTTATTGGTAATACAAACAAATAGTACAATGCTGTGTCGAGCGGCAAAACGGTGTGAAAGCAATCTTCCCTGCCGTGTACGAGGAGGTACCGATTTGTTGGTAAGTCAAAATAGGCATCGAAATTCCATTCGACTATCTTGAAAAATAGGTTAAAGGGGTTCTGGTGGTGGCGGATGCTCTATAAGAACTATCCCAGAATTAGAAAAAGCAACGCGAGCAGTGTTACATCTTTTCTTCTCAGTTTTTTTTCCTAACAAGAACAAAGCACTTTTTTAAGATGGGAATGAGTGAGTTTCTCTAACTAAGAGTTTTTAGACCCTGTTCAATTTTATGCACTCATTCTGTGTTACTACAATACGATACGCAATGATACAATTTCAGTTTTCGAGTATTATCGCAAGGGGCCAATCTGTCAGGCTCAGACTCATTGCAAAGCTCTCATTTTTCATATCAAAAAACCCTTTAGTGACAATGATTGCATA